CTGAAGCGGTTAACATGGTACGCCAGTCAGGCACGTTATGCTGACACTAAGAGGAGCACGAGAAGCAAATGAATTCCTCTTCACCCGCATAGCACACACATGACGCGTGGTACCATTGGGAGCAGGCGTCGCACATCACCCATTGCACCGATTCACCGCCAACTTCTACATCATCCTCGTGCTGCCAGCCTTTACAGACTTCCTCTGAAACCAAGCCCTGAGTACGGTGTTTCGGTTTAATGGGAATCCTGTAGTCGGAGGATGTCCGTGTGCAAAGGTTACGGAACACTTTACCCTTTAGCGCACTGTTATCGGGGCTAACCTCCGTCACCCTGCACGTAAGGGGTGATTTACTTTACCTGGACCCTGCTGTGGAGGTTGATGGAACAGGTGTTGCGGTGGCCGTTGCAGGCAGCATGTCATTCACCTGCGGTACTTGCAAAGGGGCCCGCACTTCGCCTGCCGACGTGCTGGCTACCGCGGTGGCTGCGCCACTATCAGACGTTCCCGGCGTAGGCAAGCCGCATAACGTCTGTACGTTTGCCTCGTTATCTAAATGAAGGGGAACAGGCCACCTCGACGTTCGCCCATACAAATGAAAAGTGGCATCCTTGGACATGAGCAACGAAACCATTTCCAGGTAGGTCAAGGCAGCGGAGAAGTTCTTTGATCCGTAGCTCACCAAGTGAGTGCCGATGTCCGCCAAAAATTTTGCGTTTTGCGAAGTTTAATGGTGCGGCTTACAACGGCATCGCTGTCCCCTACATTACGGTCTACCATCTGCACATGCTCATCAAACGCAACACTTTCTGACGATGCTGCGGAAGGTTGTCGGGGTGCGACCGACCGACATCCATGTAGGATGTCCTCCGCGGAGTGTCTGTGACGCGCCGCCACATAACAAATGTGAGCACATGGGAGCCGCCACTGCCGGCTGAACTCACAATCACATTCACTGCCGCGTGTGATGTATACCCGACGCACTTTGGAACGAGGACACGTAACAAACCAGTAAGGAACGTCAGACCAGCAACCGAGAACCGTTGACGCACGGAAATGCGCTATGAACACATTGCCTGCGAAATCGCTTAAGTGTGCGAAAACGAAAGCCACTGAGGACACCTCCGATGTAACAGTGATTACGCTCATGCACCGCCTACCTATTATGCTGTTCCTTTCGTGCACGATACTGTTCAACCTATCAACCACGCAGGTGAACAGAGTGAGTAGCGATGACCTCTCAGACAAATACGCCTTCAGATGTTTGTTCTCATTCACTACCCTGTTCGTGGTGTGGCAGCCCAAAAACACAGTATCCCTTAGTCTGTGAGCGACCCAAGAGTCCGCGTGTGGAAGCCACGTTGCGCAAAAACAACGGTGGCATTCCGGATTTGTACCCCGCACCGCGTTCAATATTCTATCAAATACGGACGCATCACGAGTATATATAAGGTTATGCAGCCAACCGAGTAATTGCATTCGCCGAGCATCTGAGATACCACGTAAGCGACCGCAACGTCGAGCCATGTTCACTTTAACAGGGTACCTGCAAAACACGACCTTCGCGTTGGGATAAAAACGGCTAAACGCCCGGAAATGCGTAGCACATTTATCCATCACCACAGTATGGCAACCTACGCTGCTAGGCACCATCACCCGCGTAGCCTCCACCGCTTGCCCGTAGCTGTAAGATGTCTCATCCGGTAATACGGCGTAGAAAAAGGAAATCCCTAGACCTGTGACGTCCACCAGCATGCAATGCCACAAAATGTAGCCACCATAATTGAGTTGGTGCGTCGCGTCGCATAATAGCACCTCCCCATAACGCTTCACAATGCCGCGAATAACCGATGGAGAGAAAAACACATAACGAATCTGACTTCCCTCCGACACCAATCGGCACACACCGTGCCTTTCCAACATCTTCGCCACCTCCAACACTTCACATGCGGTTGCATTCTGATGACGAATGCGCAAATTGCTCAGGTCCAAGAGGGTTACACGTTTGCCGTACTCCTGAGAGATGAAGCGCCACCAATCAGGTGTGCTATGGAAACTGCCCGTCAAACGAAGAACTTCCTTCTCGTGCATCGGAGGAAGCCGACGGTTGCATGCATACAACCAGGGGATACCCAAGAGAAAATCATGACTATGCGTCATGAAGTAACTTCTCATGACATATTTCCCTTCCCTGCAAACCACGGAGAATCGCGCCTCGCAATTGTAGAATTTGTATCTATATGCGTTGCTCTACATGTTGCATCAATATTAACTTACCGCTTGCCACGCGATCTTGAACGGTTAGAATGAGCGCAACGGTACATGATGTAACCGTGGCAGTCCCCATCCGGCAACTGCTTCCTCCTTCCACGATGGTACACCGCAGCAGACTAGGAGGATACACTGGAAAAACAAGTCACCGTTTCAATCTGAAAACGTCGCAATTGCTTCTCCAGGTCTTCAACAGTTTCATACTTCCCAATAACCAATGAACTGAACAGCTCACTATCATCCACAACCATAGCGCTAGCAGAAAAAACAAGTATGGCAACCAAACAAACAAAGCAAACAGCATGCACATGCACCAATACAGGTTATCATTTCCAACGCATCGTACTTAACACACAATCCAATTCACTCACACACCCTCCACATATTTTCCAGGTATTTGCACATTCCTCCTCCTTGGCAATGTCGCTAGACAACCGTTGCTATGTACAATTTGTACCACGGAACATCACGGAGCAACACAACTTTTTCTTCCGGCTATCAAACATTCCCAACTTAATACAGTGATTCAGTTTCTTCACTAGGGACACCTACAGACGGAACACTCCGAAAGACGTCATTATCCGTAGACTGGCTGTCCTTATCTGTTGAGGCTTACATCTTCAAATGCCGTTTGATTTCCAGACATGTTACATACATTGTACCAGCTAGCCTTGTTTGGTTCAGCTTCCAGTGCTACTTCACTTCACGTGGCCGACACAGCAGGAACTGTTGGTGCAGGGCAAGTGGGCTTTGTTTAGTTGGCAGAAAAGTGTATCGTTAGTGTTGATTTGGCTCTTCCCTGCAGAGCTCACACAACGTTCACTGTAGTAGTAACGACATATTAGAAGGTCCAACATTCAATGAATTCTCCATTTGTTCCAGCCTCACTTGAACTTGGACTTGACTGGAACCAGAATGTAAAACGGTAGATGACTTCAAGCAAGTTCTGGATGGAATGTGGTTCGCACTCTTCCCCGAATACTTTTGAATACGCAATTCAGCATCTAATCACACGCGGATAGTATATGCAAATACATTTTTGCTTTTACTGCTTGCTTTTGCCTTGTTCAGTTGTTAGCTTAAATACAAGAATCTGTTATCTCGAGGAAGTTATTGTAGCAATTTTTGCTTATTGGCACACGAACAGGACGCCGGTTAAGTGGTCTATTTCGTTCCGGGATCCTGTCCTCTTCCGCCCTTTCCTGTCTTAGGTTTAGATTCGCCAGTATTTAAAGTCTGCCAACTACTGGTTCAACGACCCCAGAAAAAGGAACACCCACGGGATAATCCTATCGTTCAATGGGTGTCTGCCTTCCTTGAGGGGAGGGAACAGTGCGTACGGGTGGGGCGTAGCCTTTCGCTCAGGCAAGCTGTCCTTAGTGGCATTCCGCAGGGCTCGGTATTGGGGTCATTGTTGTTCGCGATCTATGTAAATGACTTGCCGGGAGAGCTAGGGGTGTCATCATTAATGTTTGCTGACGACCTTAAGCTCTGGAATATTGTGGATATCCCGGGGGGTCCTGAGGCAATTCAGCGTGCCTTGGATAGACTCTGGGAATGGTCTATCTTATGGTTGATGCCCATAAATAGGGCGAAGTGCTCTGTTCTCCGAATCGGAGCTGCTAATCCTCCCACCCGATATGTCGTCGGCGGTGATGAACTCCCTGTTGTCACTCAGCACGTTGATTTAGGAGTCGTACACGCATCAGCACTTCATTCTGGAGACAACTGGAAGAAGGCTGCTTGTCGAGGGTTTCGTATGATGTGGTTTAACCGCCGCTCTTTCGGAATCTTAACGGCCAAGTTGTTTGTGAAGCTATTTTCGGCATTCGTCCGACCCCACCTGGAATATTGTATTCAGGCTTGTCCACCATGTCTTAACCGAGACAAAATGGACTTGGAGAGGGTGTTACGAGTGGGCACTTGGTTAGTGCAGGGTCTACGTGGACAGACGTATCCTGAACGCTTGCTCAGTTTGGGTATGTACTCCATGCACTACCGAAGGATAAGAGGGGACCTGATTCTCACTTATCGTATTTTGACGGGTAAGATTAGCCCGGACTTGTCAGGGCTTTTTAGTCCCGCTACGTTACCTAGTCTCCGCGGTCACCCACTGAAACTGCATAAACCACGGTCTGATGGGATTAGGACGGAAACTCGTCTATCGCGCCGAGTTATAGATCGCTGGAATTCTCTTCCAGATCACGTGGTTAGGGAACCTACGGTTAAGGGTTTTGCGCGCCAGCTCGATGCTCTTGGGTGGCAACAGCAAACCTTTCCTTTTTCCCAGCTGACTCACCTTCATTTTTCAGTTCTTTTTTATTGACTCAAATATCTTGGTATTCCACTTGCTTAGCTCTTACCACTTTCTCCTTTGCCTCCTGCGTTTACTTTTTTCTCTTTTTTACTTCACGTAACCTACCCAGCAGGGAATGCTAGGACAGGATACGTGGGCATTAATTGGTTGGACAGGGTGTGATGCGGTCTTTGTTTTAGGTCCATCAGTATTTCAAAGTTCGCCAACTCCTGGTTCATCGACCCGCCGAAGAAGGAACACTCACGGGATCTATCCTATCGTTCCAGTCCCGCTTGAACTTGAACTTGAACTTGTTGCAGTCCCGCTTGAAGTTGAACTTGTCCTTGACCTTGACCTTGGTTAACGTTCCCAGGACGGCGTGATTCCTTTAACGTGGTCGGTTGTTCACTGATCAGCTACGATAAATCTGAGAATGACGAAGGAAACACAGTCTGCGGTGAGTTATCTTTTATTCACTCATAGAAGTACCCTCGGGTTCATCGTTTCGTCGGCAATTACAATGGATGATGATGACATGCCTTTCCATATTGCAAAAGCCAGAACTCCCTTTTTGAATCTACGGCATCTTTGGCGACAGAATAAGGTTTCATTCCGTTTGAAAGGCGTTGTTTACAAGGCTACAGTGAGGGTCGACCTACTCTATGGGTATGAGACTTGGCCCCTTCGCTGGAGGCGCCTTCACGTCTTTGATAAACGTTGTACGCGGAGCATTGCTGGTGTCCGGTGGCAATGATAATTAAGCTAGTTCCTTAAAACAACAGATAACACTGAATATGCGTTAGTTTGGGCGCGTTATAAGTATGCTCAACTACCGTTTACCGAAGAAGTTGTTTTGTCAGCCAGATGTAGTGTGGCTCATGGCTCGAGGTGGACCAAGGTTGACTTGACAGCGGGAAGTGAAGTCACTGACGTCTCACCTTCTAGGCTGGAGTCCACGTGACACCTTATGCTTGGCTGGAGACTTTACAAGACAGCAGTCGGCGCATCCATTGACGTCTCCTAGTCGGATTACCTGTTTGTGTGTTTGGTCCTGAGTTATCTGTGGGATAATGGCCGATTATGACGCGGGGCAGTAAAAGCCGCAAGGAAGCTGCCTTGCCGATGTCACCTTATCTTTACACGTTATTCAGTTGTCTGTGATAACATGTTAAGGTGTATTCGCATTGATCCTGAATGTTTGCTTCGGGCATTTAGGTTTTCCGGTTGTCCCCCTTCTTTCCCGCTTACTATTCTTCGTTCCGTAGGTCAGTATGGGTGCCTAGCAGCGAAGCATCAGTTCAAATGGCTGGTATTGATCAATATAACCATACATTTTTCTAATTCTGACTCCAAGCTGCTTGTGACAGTGAAATGAAAGCTAACATTAGAAATTATGGATGTCCACAGTGCTTAACATTATATATGATCAGTCAGAGATATCTCTTATTGACTCAGACTTATAATGTCTGACTGTTATAAACCACTGAAAGTTTACGGCGTATTTAACCTTAGTACGATTACTTACAGTCAGGTAACAATTTGGAAAAACCAGCAAACCTATCTGATGGCAAGAACGGAGAATTCGAACGCTGATCCGTAAACGGCGACCTGACGACCGCTGCGAAGCACACAACACTCCAGTGTCACCGAAACCAGAAGACGAATGTAATTTGAAGAAGCATGTATACAATTGGCGTGTGTACAATTGGCGGAAAGTAAAATAAGCAGTTACGATGAAAGATGTAAAGGATTTATAAACACTACAAAACTCCCCTCTTAGTGCGTGGGTCGAGAGAACGAACGCACAATACTTGTGTCAATTGTTGGTAGTCATTAGCCTGGAAGGCAAAACAACAGCGCTTGCTGAGCGTGTGCTTTGGTGCGTATGGTCCTCTCATTGCTTCGGTGGAGGATGTAGAGTAGGGCACACATGGGCTTGGTAGGCGGGGTACGGGGGAACGTCTGTTCGGTGGCTTGTTGTGATGCTTGAGTTTCGACGTACGCTGGTTTCAAACGATCAAGGTTCACGGAATCCTTAGAGCTGTTTCTATCCAATACGAACTACTCTTTGCGAGCAACAACTTTGACCCTCATACGGCGCTGTCATAGTTTTACGCACTGCTTCGACGCGCACAAAAACGAAAGGGCAGGTATGCAAGTCAGAGTGGACTTGCTGATTTCGAAGTCTGAATCGGGGTGGTGTTGGCTGGACTGAAGTAAAATGTTGTCACAATCGTACCACATAGGTAGTCGGTTCTAGTTCTCCAGTGACTGGAATCTAACACATCTCACCGGAACGTCTGAGATTTGTTCCGAAAACCAGTTCAGCGGGGCAACAACCTAGGTCTTCTTTGACCGTGTTGGAATGCCGGGCAGGATAATTGGTATCCGTTCGGACCTGCGCGTTCGACTACGAGGCGGTAATTGTGGCTTTCAGTTGACGATGCAAACGCTTAACAAGACCGTTGGCGGCTTGATGGTAGGCGGTTGTTTGCAGATGAAAACACCCGAGTAAGCGGTTTAGGTATCGAAATAGGGCGGAATTGAACTGAGGACCTCACTCTGTTGTGCTCGTGGCTGGGGTGCTAAACACAGGTATCCAGGTTTCAACGAACGTCCGCGAAACAATTTCGGTATAAACGTCTCGTAAAGGTACTGCATGAGGTCATCGTGTGAAACAGTCGACACAGGTTAGCAAATACTGGAAACCGTTAGATGGGAAATAGTCCAACGATGTCAAGGTGTACATGTTTAGATCTAGCGTCAGTTAACGAAAATGTGCTACCTACGGTGAACGTGTGTCTATGTATCTTTAGCCTGACAAGTGACAGTGCTTTGCCCACTTTCGGATGTCGGAACGCATATTGTGCCATACGTAGCGATTGGCGATTAGCTTGTCAGTGGTTCGAATGCCAGGGTGAGAAAGGCCATGCAGATGGTCAAAAACAATTCTCCGGTACTGCTCTGGGACGGAGGGTCTTAGCTTCCGGTCGATGGATTATAATAGACTAGAGTCGGAATTACCAATTGGCAGCTGAGAGAGTTTCAACGTGTTTGCTCTCAAGTCTGCGAACTTAGGACCATCTTGACGGGCTGCAATATCATCGAGATTAATAGCTTGGCCTGAGAGGTACTGAAGATCAATGCGAGTCATTACCTCAGCAACTGTGTTGTTAGTGGCATCAACGTGACGAATGTCTGTCGTGAATTGCGGTATGTAGTCTAAATGACCAGTCTCACGAGGCGAAATTCAATCGGAGGAACCGAGGAAGGCAAAAGCTGGTGGCTTGTTATCCGTAAGAACAGTGGAGGTACGTCCTTCAATTAGATGTCAGAAGTGCTTACTGCAAGATAAATAGCCAGAAGTTCTCGATCAGATGTGCTGTATCGAGTTTGAGCAGGCTGAAACTTTTTGGAGAAAAAAGACAGGTTTAGGCTGGTTGTTTATCAGCTGCTGTTAGGCGGCAGTTTGTGTTGCATCAGTCCTGAGAACGATAGGTGCGTCAACATCGGTTCTGATGTGGCTAAGCTCGGTGGTGTTGGATAATAATAATAATAATAATAATAATAATAATAAAAGATGTGTCAGTTGTATGCCGTAACGGCGCTTCGCTGCCGCGCTACCACCACCAATCGCGCGCGGGCTGAGTATGCCACGCGGACGCCCACTCCTACGCGGATTCGAACCGGTGACCTAGTGGTTGCAAACCGGATACGCAGACCGCTCGGTTACCGGCCGACTGGTGTCGGATAACGCCTGCTTGCTTGATCTTATCGAATACCACAGTTGTTTCTGCTGTTGTCTCAAACTTACGGGATTTGCCTATTATTAAATTTGTCAAAGGCTTAAGTCGCCGGGAACAACCTGGAATGAAACGATTATAATAGTTGAGCATCAAGAGGAAACAGCACAAGCTTTTAAAGGATTGAGACATTGGGAGATCCGCGATTGCCTGCGTTTTTTCGAGAAGTGGGCTAATACCATTATGGTCGATCCGATAACCGAGAAAATCGACACTAGTTTGGCCGAAAATACACTTGTCAACGTTAATCGTCACGCCATACTGAGCGAAACACTCGAAGATCATAGGGAGATGTGGCACGTGTTCCTCCTCGTTCGAACTGGCGACAAGGATGTCGTCAATGTAGGCAGAAACAAAATCCAGCTCTCTGAAGACTTGCTTAATGAACCACTGAAAAGTCTGGGCAGCGTCTTGCCATCAGAAGGGCATACGAACGGATTCATAAAGATCGAAGGGGTTCGGGATGGCTGTCTTTGGAATGCATCAGGAGCCACAGGAGTGTGATGGTATGCACGAACTAGGTAGATTGTGGAGAAAACAGACTTTCCGTGCACGTTGCTAGAAAAATCATGGATATGGGGAATTGGGTACCTATCGGGAACAGTGACACTGTTGTGCACCCGGTAGTCGCCACATGGTCTCCAATCGCTGGTCTTTTTGGGCACCAAATGAAGCGGAGATGCCCAGGAGCTTTTAGAAGGGCGGATGACTCCGAGGTTAAGCATGTACTCGAAAACCTTCTTGGCCGCTTGCAGTTCGTCCGGTGGAAGGCATCTTGGCTTGACAGACACTGGAGGACCGATATTGTTCTCCAAAATCTGGCATGAAGAAAAGGTGCCTTCTTTCTGGGGCAAGTCAGTTATTGTCCCCGTACTCGCACATCGTATACCAGTCACCAGGGGATTAGTCTCATTTCGGTTGCCCCCAAGCTGTTGGCATCCATTCTACTCTGTAGACTCTCCTATTCGTGAATCGCAACACCGGAGAGAACAGGCAGGCTTCCGATCTTGCCGCGGGTGTGTGGATCAGATATTGACACTCCGTTAAATCCTGGAACACTGTCATCTTTACCAGAGGCCTATCATCGTTGCATTCCTGGACATCCATGCCGCATTCGACTCGGTTGATCGTCCTGCACTATGGCATTGTTTGCTTAGGAACGGTGTCCCAGGAAAGTGCGCTGCCATTCTACGCGCACTGTATTTCCACATATCTGGCAGAGTGAGGGTGTATGGCAGGCTTTCCTCGTCCTTCGCTGTCAATAGTGATGTGCGACTAAGCTGCCCTATCTCCCTGTTCCTCTTCAATTTTGTGCTTGAAGACACCCTGTCGAGAGCTCTAGACGGCTGCCAAAATTTTGGTATACAGCTATTACCGGGCAAGCTAGTAACCGACTTAGATTCTGCCGATGATATCGCCTTACTTGGTGCGGACTCACAGAGCATGCAAATTCTTCTAGAGTGCTTGGTGACTAAGGCATCTAGGTACGGAATGTGCTTTGCCCCATCAAAGTGTAAACTGTTGCTTCAGGATTGGCCCCCAACTGTTCCCGCGCTCAATATTGAAGGTACACAGCTTGAACAAGTGGATAGCTTTGTCTACCTTGGCAGCTGTCTGCTGGTGGTACCATTAGAAGGGAAGTTTCTCTTCGCAT